GAGAGAATCCATAATTGAAATAATACCATGTAGACCATAGCATTGCAAGGGAGGGTGCTGATGGGGTCTTATTTGTCTTTATATTCTTCAGCCCAGTGCCTGGCACTTCCAATGTAAAACAAGTGCCCTGATGAATTTACATTGGCGTAAGTGTGAAGCACCTGCACTCTGGGATGGAGAATTGCTGGATGTTTCGCTTCTGGCCTGCCTACCCCAACCCACTCCTTTCCTCAGTGGGTGGCCATTTATCTCTGCTCTTTTGGGTGGCCTCTGCATAGGTGCTAATAAGGCCAAGGTCAGAGGTTCTGTCTTCAGATGACCTATTTAGCCCTGCCTGTGTCATGGCCACAAGCTGTACTCTTTTTTCCTGGGGCAGCTGACTTCGATGCCTGCTGCTAATCACAGGCGAGAATAGGCTAGAGAAAGGGGGCTGCTCCCTAGAGCTAGAAGGACTCTAAAGAACCTCTAGTTCAGCCTTCTCATTTTACTCTTTCAGGAGAAGACTGAGACCCAAAGGGTTCTCTCCTTTCCTCCTGTGCAGTGACTCAGGCTTGATTTAGCTCACAGATAAATACCTTGCACCATTGAGAAACAGACACTCATCCCAACAGCAAAGCGGGAGGTAACCCAGCCCTATGCTCAATGTCAGTGGATGGTTAACAGCAACTTCCTAATTTTATAATCCCTTCCATTTGAATAGACACCATAGAGCTAATATTTAAAGAACTTTGAAAAGGTGCCATGCAATAAGATCGCTGCACAAGTGGTCTTATTCAGGTTCTTTGGAAGGACACATAATTAATCTTTGATGAAAATCCATTTGATGATGATTTGGGGAAAAGAGAATTTTGTGAGACTAGGTTGGTTAAATCAAAATCAAATGAGCTGTCATCTTCTCAAACCAACAATTATTTCCAGTTTCTATATTTCTATTAATGGAATGATCATTATCCTCGTCACTGAGGCTAAAATCCATTGTACTTCTTCTCCTGAAAATTACTCTTATTATTCCTTTTTTTTCTTATCCCCTTTGCCAGCCCCCTGTGCATGTTACAATAGAAAGGACTTGTAACTACAGGTCCCCCATCTGTTCTCGCTCTATCCACTTTAGTCCTCTGCTTTCCTGCCAGATTTCCCTTGCCCAAACCCATTTGTGGTTTGCTGTTGTCTACTCAAATTAAGTCCAAATTCTATTAATGTTGCAGATAAGAATGGCTATTTCTATATAGGACTTTTTTTTCTTTAAGAATTTATTTTTTTAAAGTTACTCATCTCCCACTTATTATATATGCATTTCAGTTTCATACAGCATGCTTTATGATAGCCCCATGTTATTTATGAAAAGCTCAAAACCCCAAATGATGAAAGAGGTCTGTTAAGGTCACAAGGCAATTGCATGGTGTATTCGAGAACGAATCACATTACTGAGCATTTAAACATTAACACCAGCATTGCCATCAAGACGTTATAGTCAAGTGAGGCATCAATTCGTGTGTGTGTGTGCGTGCGCGCGTGTATGTGCATGCGTGTGTGGTGTGTGAGAAGAGTCATCTAGAAGAGTCATCCTGCTCCTAGAGAATAAAGGAGAATTTTTTTCCTTTTAAATACATGGTTTTTAATTTTAATGCCACTATGCCTTGTATCTTTCCTTATTTATGTTCATGGATTATTTGGTAAATTAGGAAACTTTTTTGATGTTAAGGAAGAAAATATAGATGGGTGAACCTAAATTAGTAGCCTGAACTTTGAAGCTAGACAGATCTAGTTCAAACCTTGGATCTAACACAAGCTGTGTAACCTTGGACTGTCAGCCTCAGTTTTCTTGTGAAAATGGAGAAGTTTCTGTCTACATCGAGAAGTTTGCTGGAAGCATAGAATGAATGAAAGTGTGCCAGTACAGAATCTAGCACATTACAGATGGTCATTAATAGTTGATGTTATTAGATTTCATGTGTGCTGCAATCCTGGGTTAATAGTTCAGGTTTTTCCTTGGAGTTTGTAGAGGAAGAGTTTATTGGGCTGCAGGGGAGGGAAGAATCCATTAACTACGATTGAAAGATATTCTTACTAAATATAATTACCATGCAAACACATAGCCATATTGGACCAACCTATCCAGCCCCAGGAAGAAAATGCCCCACATCTGTGTTTTGTGAGGGTTATGTCTTCTCTGCCATTCTGACAAATGGACTGTAGCACAACCAGCTGTGTGCTGCACATGCCTGCTCCTCAGTGTGTTTGGTGGCCACTTGGAGTACAGTGCAATTTGCTTTTATTTTAAAGAGCCCAGCATAGTAAGAGAGAGAAACTGAGTGTCGTGAGACCTAATGCTAACTTTAACTGTGATGCTGACCCTGTGTGTGATGTTGAACCAGTGAGCCTGGGGACTTTGTTCTAGGCTGCCAGGATTCTGTTACTAAGCCATTTCTTTTCCTTCCTTCCTTCCTTCCTTCCTTCCTTCCTTCCTTCCTTCCTTCCTTCCTTCCTTTCTTTTTTCTTTCTCTTTCTCTCTCTCTCTCTCTCTTTCTTCTTTTCTTTCTTTCTTTCTGACAGCATCTTGCTTCGTCACTCAAGCTGGAGTACAGTGGCATGATCTCGGCTCATGGCCACCTCTGCCTTCTGGGTTCAAGCGATTGTCCTCCTTCAGGCTCTTGAGTAGCTGGGATTAACGGTGTTTGCCATCATGCCTGGCTAATTTTTGTATTTTTAGTAGAGACAGGGTCTCACCATGTTGTCCAGGCTTGTCTCAAACTCCTGGCCTCAAGTGATTCACCCACCTAGCCTCCTAAAGTGCTGGGATTACAGGCGTGAACCACTGTGCCCAGCCTCATTTCTTTACCCTTGGGATAATTCTACTCATAATCTATTTTAAATGCCAGTTCCCCTTCTCATACACATACACATGCTCTTTGCCTAATGAACTCCTAACCATTCTTCAAAACCTAGCTCAAACAGTTCTGTCTCTCATTTGTGCATTTTCTCAGCAAGTATTTATTGAGTGCATACTGTGTGCAAGTTGCTGGGGATAAAGTGTCAAACAAACCAAAGACCCTGCCCTAAAGCCTGACTCTGTGTTCCTGAAGCCCTTTACTTGTGATGGGATCTCATTCCTCTATAATCCCTCACATGGTGGAACTTGCTCTGTTGAGTCGAAGAACAAACTCTTGCTTCTCTGGTCCTTCCTTGTCTGTTGAAGCAAATGACCCAAGTTGTACAACTCCCCGAAAGACATGCAGTAGGAGTGTCAGGAGTGGCAGAGTTGCTATGGAGATTTTTCTACTAGTACAGTAGCTGCCAGAGCTTGTCAGCTTCCATAAAATATAGGGACATAATGGAAAATTATCAACTTCCAAAGTTTGGTACTCTCCATGCTGACAGGCGAGACTTTCCCTACTGTAATCTAGCAGGTGATGAAGAGTGAGGACAGGCACAGCAGAATTGTGCAACGGACCCAAGTAAGAGCTCCCAGTGACAGGAAGCACATGCTGCAGGCATCTTCCTTTCACCTGCGCATGGACCAGCAGGCATTTCCTGGCCATTGTTCGCCATGGCTGCAGCAACTCTATTTCCGTCCACCAGCAAAGTGGGGCTGGAGCTGGCTGAGCTTTTCTGGTGGGGCTGGCTTTTGTGGCTTTTGTGGCTTTTGTGTGCCTCTCACCCAGGCCAGCATTACCATCAGCCCTCGTGGAAGCAGTGGTGGGTGGATCCGGCTGACCAATCTGTCTTACGCCTTATCATCAAAGGGAAGACTTAGGAAGAAGGATGTCCTCATGTAGGAATAAACAGGGCGGCTCTGCCTCTTTTGCTTTCAGGTAGGTTTCTGCCCATTTTCATTCTTTGTGGGCACTCTCGTTTTGTGCAGCTTACACTGGAGGAAGTTGCTGCTGTTGATTCAGGTACTATAGCAGGATTTGGGTGTGGACATCCTTGGCTGAGAGATGCAAAAACTTTTCCCCAAGATCTACTAGAAAGAAATTTGATTCATAAAAGTTTAATAAGGAGGCCGGGTGTGGTGGCTCATGCCTGTAATCCCAGCACTTTGGAAGGCAGAGGTGGGTGGATTACCTAAGTTCAGGAGTTCGAGACCAGCCTGGCCAACAGGGTGAAACCCTGTCTCTATGAAAAATACAAAAAATTAGCCAGGCGTGGTGGCGCATGCCTGTATTCCCAGCTACTCGAGAGGCTGAGGCAGGAGAATCGCCTGAACCCAGGAGACGGAAGTTGCAGGGTGTCGAGATCATGCCACTGCACTCCAGCCTGGGCAACAAGAGTGAAACTCTATCTCAAAAAAAAAAAAAAAAAAAAACTTTCATAAGGAAAAGAGAACTTTGGTATTGTATAGTGAGTTGGGTGTGTATGATTGATCAGTGTGTTGTTTGTTTTCTCATCATGAACCCAAAGAATTAAAATCTATTTTTGGTTGCTAGTTAACTGCCATGGAGGGGCTGCCCTGGCAGTTGCTGCTTCAGTCGCTTCCGCTGAAGCGTATCATGACTGTGTTGATTAAAGATCTCACTCTCTCGTAGAGCAAAGGTATGTCTACAGGATGAAAGCAGGGGCATGTCCTGAGATTAAGCTGGATATTGGTAGTTTCTCTTTTTAGAAACATGAAGGAGTCATTGCAGCTCCCAGATCTGTATTTTTTTTGTCCACACTCCTTCCGCCTGCTCTTTGTGAGTGGGACAAGGGGAAGGTGGACAGTGTTGATGTCACTGCTTAAGCGCCGTGCCACATGCTCTTCTACCAGAGGCAGCCATCGAAGGGTGAGGTCCTCAGGGTTCCACGACGTCCTCTAGAGCCAGAGCCACACCCACTTTCTACATGAATAGAATGGAGAGCAGTTTCAGGCAGAGCCATCCCTGTGTCTCCTCTTTCTGTGCAGGTTCTGTGTTGTGTCCATCACCGTGGTCTGGTTTGGTGGGGGGACCACGGGACGAGGAGGTGTAAGACTGACCCCCAGGGAGACCTGGTCACAAATAGAGCTCTCTGTTGTTCCGCAGTGCTGGGTCCTGCCACCACCATGGTTCCAGCGGTTGAGCTCTGCTGAAGCCTGGGCATCATGTACAGTGTAGAAGACCTCCTGATCTCTCATGGATACAAACCGTCGAGAGACCTCCCGGCACCGCGCGAGGATAACCCCAAGGGGCGCCAGGCAGCGAGGACTGGGACACGAGCAGGCCAGGGCCTGCAGAATGGGCATGAGGATGGCCCTGCGGCCCTCGCACATCGTAAGACGTCCGCGGGGAAAGGACACGTGAGTGACTCCGAAAGCCGCCGCAGCACACCGAGAGGCCCTGGGGAGCCCCAGAGCACTTCTGCTTCCAGAACCTCAGAGGCGGGGTAAGTTTCCCTGTGAACCCACCATTCTCTTTTGACTCAGGAGTTAGCAGTGGGTGATGTGCAGGCAAACTCTTTCAACTCTGTGTTTGGCCGGGGCCAATGAGGGATAAATGGTATTAGACACAAGAACACTTTTTGTTTGTTTTTTGTTTTGTTTTGTTTTTGAGACGGAGTCTTGCTCTGTTGCCCAGGTTGGAGTGCAGTGGCACAATCTCAGCTCACTGCAACCACCTCCAGGGTTCGAGTGATTCTCCTGCCTCAGCCTTCTGAGTAGCTGGGATTATAGGCATGCGCCACAACGCCTGGCTAATTTTTCTATTTTTAGTAGAGACAGGGTTTCACCATGTTAGTCAGGCTGGTCTCGAACTCCTGACCTCATGATCTGCCCGCCTCGGCCTCCCAAAGTGCTGGGATTAGTAAGCCACCGTGCCTGGCCACTTTTTGTTTTTTTTAGAGAGAAGGTCTCACTGTGTTGCCCAGGCTGGAGTGCAGTGGTGCAGTCATAACTCACTGTAGCCTTGGCCTCCTGGGCTCAAGTGATTCTCCCACCTCAGCCTCTCGAATAGCTGGGCCAGGTGCACACAACCACACCTGGCTAATTTTTATTTTTTGTAGAGACAGAGTCTCACTGTGTTGCCCAGGCTGATCTCTAACTCCTGGCCTCATGCAATCCTCCCACCTCAGTCTCCCAGAGCACTGGGATTAGAGGCATGAGCCACCATGCCCAGCCCAAGATCACTTGTTTCCACTGAGATATTCAGGGTGTTCCAGCAGTACTTAGCACAGGGCTTTGCCATAATGGGCCTTCAATAAATAGCAGTGAGTAAACACGTTCTATCATGCTAAATGCCATGTGTTAGGACTCTGCTGCTTGGTTCCCTTGTAATCTCTTCATCTTGCCTCAGTTAGGAGTCATTTTAGAACTTCATAAAAGCTAGTTCACAACCACGCACCCATTCACAGTGTATTTGGCTTTCTTATTGACACAATTCAACATTTTGCAGGTTACAGAGAGTTGAAAAGGGGTCTGTATTCCCCTCAGTTTGTAAGACAAAACCTTTCTTCTGATATATTCATATCATTCCATTGGCTTCTGACCTATCTTTTCCTTGCACACACTCTGGCCCTAATGTGGGATCCCATCTGAATACAGCTGCATCTGTGGGTGTTTCCTTACAACAAAAAGAGAGGGCGGGTTGGCTAGGGGAACAGGATGGTAAAAAAAAAAAAAAAGAATTTCGGCAGCTTGCCACAGAGCCAGGCTGGGACAGGAGCCCTGAAGCCCTCTCCCAGGCAGTTTCCACCTGGAGGAAACCTTTGTCATCCCTTCCTGACATTGCATTTGCCTTTAGTGCTGCACTGGGACCAGGCACAGATTGGGGAGGAAGAGCTGTGAGTCTACAGAGTGTGTTATGTAACTGCATGTCAGCAGTTAGATATGGACGAAGGACATAGACAGAATCAAGGACCTTTCTTTAAGAGAAACAAACACACCAAATGGGCAAGTCTGATGGGAATGAACTCGCCTCCCATGGTTAAAGGTCACCCTTGCAGAGAAAGGACCTTCCTTGTCGGTTGACAGTTTTCAGGCAAAAATCGGAAGGATTTTGTTTTTAGAGTCAGAGCACTTAACACATTATTGGAGAAAAGCAAAGGTGAGAGCCCTCATTTTTGCCCAGCGTAGTGAAAGCAGGTTTAAGTTGCCAAGTCAGATTGTTTCTCCAGCGAGGGGCCAGAGGAGTTAGCACTGATGGAGCCAGGCTCAGGGGGAAAAGTCACAATGAAGAAGGAGCTGGAAGCTGTTTCTGTTTCGCCTTGCGCTTTAGAACTCACACTTCAGTCGACTACTGTCAAGGCCTTCACTTTCTTGACCACCATTTTCCAGCATGGAGCTGGAAGAGGGAGCTTATGGGTGAGTTGGCTGAGGGTTCAGATAACCTTAATGACTACCACACAAACTGGTGCTTGTTTTTTTGTTTGTTTGTTTGTTTTTCATTTAGTTTTGTGCTGAGTATATCCGTATCTTCCAACCTGGATTTCAAGGTACTGAGATTGTACCTTGTCTCCTATCTCTTTTGTTTCTTGTACAGAGTCTTACAGTACTGGGCATATATGGTTATTTAATACATGCTCATGAGTTCAATTTATTCTTTCCCCCATTGTAGCAACTGTTGAAAAGCAGAACGGTCGGTTTCTAATGAAGTAAAGACAGGGCTGTGGAATCCCCGCAGATGGACCATGTAGGTTATGTGGGGTCTCCCTCAAATTTGAGGGGCTGGATCAGAGTTGAGTCCCACGGTGGGAGGCAGGAGAACCCCTTTAGAATTCTGTGTGGGCAGTGTGGCTGCCAACCTCATCCACAACTCGCTTAGGACTTTCTAGCCCCTTGTGTGGTAACAGGTTCCTGAGGACTGTGGCATAATCAGATCTGCAAGCTGCCTTTCTTTCCGTCCTGAGTGAAGGGCTCAGATAAGTGGCTTTGTGTAGCCCTGGGATGTTTTCATACAGATGACAGAGTTCTTGACAGATCTGGCCTCTTGTCCATGTTGCTGAGACTGGCCGATTCACTTAGGTGATGTAGAGTAGCTTTTGGATTGAAGGTTGGTCCTAGGGTGGAAACAGCAAATGCATACATGTTTGCAAACATCCCTCCCAGTGCCCCAAGCCTCAGAGACTGGCTGCGAGGTTCCCTGGGTTGAAATGAAAGACTTTATTTTTTAGGTGCCCAATAGAGAACTGAAAATTGGAGGGAAACAGAAAGGTAGGCATGAAGGAGAATTGTTTTTCCCCATCAGAAACAAAGTGCTTTGGGAAGAAGTAAATAGGTGTCAATAGTAAACAGCTTAAATTAAAAAAATAATAATAATAAGAGAAGCCGATACTACTATGGCTTATGTGAATTCTGGATCTGATGGATAAATGGTGCTGTCAGATCCCAGTCTTTGGTTACTCAAAAGCACAGCTGTGGTCTTGCTGCCTCCTCCATCCCACACAGTGACCTCTGCTGGGCTGGCCTCCCGGTCTAGGGGGTGCCTAGAGCCCAGGATAGCCCTGTCCAACTTGAAACCATCAGTGTGGTTGGGAAGGGTCACGAGGGTTCCTCTTCTGCAGTTTCTTGGTTGAGGGCTGCCTTAAAGTGTGTCCCCACACTTTGGGCCAGTCCTCAGCACCCCACTGATGTCCTGGGAAAGATGGAGGTCAAGGTCGTTTGGAAGGCCACAGGGGCTGATTGAAAATTTGTTTTATTCTGACAGGATAGTGGCGACCTAGGCATTTTGGCAAGGTTATTGTCTTATAACTGAAGAACATTGCGTTCATCCAATGTGTGCTGCTGTTAACAGGCCAGGTAATTTATGACGAATGGAAATTTATCAGTTCACTGTTCTAGAGGCTGGGAAGTCCAAGGTCAAGGTGCTGGTATCTCATGAGGACCTTCTTGCTGTGTCATCTCATGGTGGAAGGTGAGAGAGTGAGAGTGAGATCAAACAAGAGAGGGCTGAACTCATCCTTTTATAAGGGCACCAGTTCCACCCAGGAGGGTGGAACTCTCATGACCTCATCTCCTCTTAAAGGCCCCGCCTCTTAATACTGTTACAATGGCAATTAAATTTCAACAGGAGTTTTAGATGGAATAAACATTTAAACCATAGCAAACACAAAGTCCAGAGGATGTCACTGGCCATCAATGGCCACTCAGTGCAGCAGTGGAGGGAGCCCAGCTTGGGCCATGACTCCCCCACCCACCCCGGGCTGCCAGAAGCCTTGGGGCTGCCTCCCTGCAGCAGCGCTGGGCCTGGCTGAGCTCTCCCCAGGTAAGGCCTGTTTTTGTCTGAAAGGAGCACTTGATTCTGTGAGCTCCTGGGGTTACCATCACTGGATGGTCTTTTCTCAGTCCCTTGTCCTCCACCCTCTCCCTGGCATGCATGGACGTGTGACAGCTCCCAGAGCCCAGCTGTGTCCCTTTCCTGTCTGGAGAGGCCTATAAAGACTGCATCCTGACCTGTCTACACGAGATAATGCACATAACACTGCTTTTCTGTGGACGTTGTAAAGGGAGCATACATGGAAGGCAGGATTATCCATCATCTGGGGCTTAGCTGGAATATCAGCATTGTCTGGTGAGAATGGTCAGGACTGCTCCTTACCCTCTAATGATTAGTATTAGTTTAGAACAGAGTTTCTGATTTAAGGACCAGCTCTATCTAGTAAAACTTTTTTTTGTCTTTTTCCCTTTCTACTCGAGGGACATCTAGTAAAACTTAAAAAAAAAAAAAGAAAAAGAAAAAAAACACAAATATGAAGCTTTGATGAGATTTTCGAGAATTCAGGATACTTGTTTCCTAATGTGCTGAGGTGGCTGTTGCTTTGAGCTTTCACTATTAGCAGATCAAGTAGTAGTGAGCATCTAGGACAGGAGAAGAATGACAATTCTGTTGTGAAGGAAGGCAAAGGAGCATGTGAACTTGCTAAAAATCTCTTAGGTGTAAGTAGTGGAGAAGGACCAAGAGTTGGTTCTCCTTGTACATAGTTTATCTAAATTGATGAGTAGACAGTAATTGTTTTTGGAAGCTACATGTTAATGTGTTGGGCCATTGTTCGTATGACTGGTAACTTTACCAGCGTTTAAAGCACAGCAGATGGACTGTGAAGCCTGACTGTGGGACTCCTGGCTCAGGGGCCTTCCTTGCCCCTGGGCTGAAGACTTCCTAGCAGTAGAGTTTCCCTCCTTGGTAGATCCTTTGGAAGGTAGGAAGTGGAACCTACCTGAAAGGAAAGGGAGGGGTCGTTGTAAGGATTCATGGAGAGATTCAGGACCATTCATAGGAAATGGAGAAAGACTGGCTGGCCTCATTAGACGTGGAATGAGAAGGCATCCCCCTGGACTGTGGGTTGTTCCCCTGGGGACTCATTCATCTCTGTCCCCCATTGCCACCCATCTCTGCGTCTCCGGGTACTTGTTTATGCTCCTCTTCCCTTCCCTGACAGCTTCTGCTTCCCCCTACCTCTGGCTGGCGGAGACTTAGACTCCACCCTTGCTCCTCTTGACGGCTTAGCTTCAGAACCCACTGCTGACAACTGCCCACATCTCTTAGTTGAAACTTTTGAAAAAATTGAGTTTTAGACAGCCAGTGGATGCTTGAGTCTGGGTCAGGGTGTCTGCCCCCTCCGATCAGAGGGGAGGGGCTGGACAAGGGAGTGGGAGGTTGGATGGGGAGGAGGGAATGACCAGGCATGGATGCCTGAGCTTTCCCCACTGCAGGGGCTGCGGGTGAGGACAGTTTGCAGGCCACAGGGACTGCCTGTGAACCCCAAAACATGTTCTCTTCACAGACCATTTGACAAGTAACACTAAAGACTTGGCATTTTCCCCTTTTTAAGTCATTGACTCCGCAGAGAGCTCATCTAGATGCTAGCCCACTCCTAAATGGTCTCAGTTAACAGAGTGTAGTGATGAAACTGGCTGCAGGCTTTGCATGAAAGTCACTTACGTGGTCCAGGAAAAGACCCACAGGCCATGTCCAAAACTTGCCTGCTGACACACACACACACACACACACACACAGATTAAGAGGAAGTGGGCAAAGAGGAAAAACTGTGTTATCTGCACATGGAGGAAACTGCATGCTTAAAATACAAGTAGCCAAAACTAAATAATACTTAACGATCATTAAAATATGTAAAAGGCTGTTATCAGGCACTCAGGGTTTCCTTAATGTGTTTCCTTTGAAATATTATAATCAGAGGAAGCTGTAAAATACTCTTAACATAGCAGAGGTTTGAAGCTGAAAGTTATACCATAATTGGCTCTTCTCTGCATAGCCCCAGGAATTCGGGTAAGATTTTTTTGTTAGTTACCCATGAGAATAACTTGTAATTATCTCCTGTCATCAGCGGCAGTCGTAACTAATGAGAGACTTAGCAACCTAGGGAGAGTCTCTGATGTGGTGGTCTGGGGCCCTCATCTTGGGAGGTTTCTATTTGATCAGTAAACATCCATTCTAGATAGTGCTACTGGATATGGTAAACAGTTCATTTTCAGGGTCTTTTAAAGCTTCTCTTAAATCATATCCTGCTTATAAGGATTTTCCAAAAACAGAGAATGCTTCAAGTTTAACATCTGTTTATGTTCCTCTTTCTTTTACAAACTTATAAATCCACAAACACGATTTGCCTTTTCACCGCTTGTTTCCCATCCTAAGCATTAGCCGTTGGTATTTTGACCTTGTTATGGGGTTTGCCTGTTTCTCTTGAGGGCTGGCATGCTCATGAACACCAGGAAGAGGCCGCCTCTTCCCCCACTGTCTTCTGTATGCCCTTCTCCTTGGTCTCGTTCGTAAGTGTGGAAACTTCCAGAAGGGCCTGGAAACTGGTCCTCTCTCCCGCGTGCGCCCCATGTGGCTTTTACCAGCACCAGTTTCCCCACTAAAAGGCAGGTTGTGGCCCTTGAACACGAGGCTTCTGGAAGTGCAGTGGTGCGGAGGCACAAGCTTCTGGAATGACAAGGAAGATCCAGCGGCAGCACCGCCGAGGGCCTCATGTGTCTTGGTGGTTATGCCATCCCCAAGAGGAGAGTTGTTCATGTGGAATTCTGCTTTCAGCTAGAGAACTGGATGAGTCCGAGAGCTAGGAAATGCCCCACGGAGAGACACTGAGGGTGGGAATGTGAGACGGGGTCCAAAAGAGACCCGAGTGGGTCTTCCAGTCCAGCCCCTTTGCCTCAAAGATGACTGTGCCTCTGCGTTCTCGATAAAGGACAGGGTGTGGACTGGGGGTGTCACTGGCGGGCTGCTGTGCACCAGCTGTGGGGCCTGGGGGCCTTTAGGCAGCCTCCCTAGGGTGTCATCACCAGAGACCCAGCTGCAGGGTCCTTCAGGCTCTCAGGAACCCACGCATAGTGACCGCCTTTTCTGCCTCTCATAGCCCTCATCTTGGCTTCTGAAGAACCGTGGGTCAGAGGCACCGCAAATACTCCATAAATATTTGTTGAATAAACGAATAAATAAATGAAAGCGAGAGTGGTGCTAGAAAAAGGCAAATGAGAAGCGAGGCTGGCCTTTCTCTGTGTCAGTGATGGCACTGTGGGGTTCACACTGGTGTACGTGGTAAAAATCTGACATGCCCTTATTAAAGAGAAAATATGAAAATACTGAAATAATCTGCCTTACCTATTAGATACGCATGAGAGAGAATGGATTAGAGCTTCTCTTCCTGCCTTGTTTTAATAAATGAAATACTGGTTTGTTCTACATCCATATTGTGGAAATGGGTGTAGCTTCTTCGTCAGAGACCAGCCATCCCGAGGGGGAACAGCGTCTCGTGATGACAGTCGGCTCTGTCACTCTTTCCTGGCATTGTGAAGGCCCGTTGATTACAACTTAGACAAAGACAATGCCGATCCGAAATAATCATCACCTTCAGACAGACACTTGGTTCTTCACCCTTTGCTGTGTGCCACCCGCACCCCCTTCCCCAGGAGATCAAGCAAACAGAGCTTCAAGATAAGCTGCTCCATTGAGAATGTATTTTAATTGAGTTAATACTAAATGAAACAAGGGCTTCTTACGTGTCAGGCACGGTGCTGACCACTCTGAATGTATCATCTCATTTAATTCCTCCCAGAATACAAAAAGGAAGGCTTAGTCCGTCCCTGCAGTACAGATGAGGCATCAGAAGCCGAGGCCAGTCCGGCTACCCAGCCATCAGGTGGGAAGGACCTCACGTTGTGGGAGGGAACAGTGTCTGCGCTGCGTGCAGTCACCGGGACTTCTCCTGGTCACTCGGGTGGGGAACCATATCTCTAGTGCTTCCTGTCCCTGCCTGTGAAGACACCCTCAGGGGTGGCTTCCAGTAGGCCCTGGGATGCTCCCGGGGTGATCATTGCTGTGGAGGGACAGGGTCCTCTATCAGTGGGACCCTAGCGTGGGAGGAGCGTCAGCGTATGGCCCTGTAGGGAGTCTGCCGCTGACTAAGGGCCGCCCAGTGTGGCTTCTTGCCTTTACATTGATTAGAAGGCGTCAGTGTGTCCTTGCCATGTTAATCAGTAAAAGGAGTGGGCTCATTTGAATAGCTGGCGTGAGTCAGAGGTTAGGGGTTTGCGACCCAGCTTTTTTCCCTCAGAAGTGCAGTTGCAGGAAGGATGTTGTTCAGAGATGCCCTGACTTACAGTGAGAGGTTCTAGCACCTTCGTCAGGGACATGTTACTGCACACAGCTGGCGGCTGCCCCAGGAACCCTCACCAGCTCCACCTACCTTTTCTCCAGGGTATTTTCCTTCTTCCACGTGGACCTGTGCCCTTCTTCCTTCATTTGTATATTTGTATCCCTTTGCTCCATCCTGCTTCTCTCTTCTCTCTTTTCTTCTCTCTTTCTCTTTTCTTTTTTTTCTTTTCTTTTCTTTTTTTTTTTTTTTTTTGAGACAGGGTCTCTCTCTGTCACCCAGGCTGGAGTGCCGTGGTGCCATCTCAGCTCACTGTAGCCTTGACCTCCCAGGCTCAAGCAATGCTCCCACCTCATCTTGAGTAGCTAGGACTACAGGCACTCACCATCACATCTAGCTAATTTTTCTTTTTAAATTTTTTTTGTAGAAACGGGATCTCCTTATGTTTCCCAGGCTGGTCTCTAACTCCTGGGCTCAAGCGATCCTCCTACCTCAGCCCCTCAAAGTGCTGGGATTACAGGCGTGAACCTCCATGCCGGGTCTCTCTTTGTCTCCTCTACCTGTAGGTGGGTCAGTGGTCCACATCAACGAGGCGTCCCCTTCCATGAGCGATCTCCCAGCCCCTGATTTTGTTACGTGCATTAAAAAGATATACTACTAGAATTACCACGACAGTTTCCAAGCTGGCTCCATCCTTCACATCAGCACCAGCTGTGAATTTACTAATTTATGCAAAGGAAGCAACCACCCAAACCCCAGTCCCAGGGGCGGGGCCCGTGGACCGTGGTCTCTGACTTACCTTGCGTGTATAAAAGTTCTTGACTAGACCTTGCAAAATCAAAAGTCTGCTGAAGCCCTAACCCAAAGATGATTCAGAAACCTGCTGGCAACCACAGAAGAGCAATTTGTGTCCATTTCTAGCCATCAGAGTTTAAAAAATATTATGGTCTCGTGGCTGGCCAGGTTGGCACTGTAGTGGCGATGGCTTCCAACTTCTTTTTTTTTTTTTTTTTTTTTTAATTTTTCCATTCTGAGCTCATCTTTGTGGAAGCCAGACCCAAGCACAGGAGTTCAAAGCCCGTGCTGTGGAGGAACTGTGACTTCAAGGGCTTCCATCCAGGTCGCTATCAGTGGGTGCCTTTCCAAAATGCCTCCTACTTAATTTCCTCTGTGCACGTTGATAACTCAAGTGCCTTTGAATTGCTTTCCTGTGCCCCTTCTTCAAATGTCCAAATTTAGCATCACTTCTAAGTCCTCAAATTTATCATGCTTCCTCTTCCAGACCCATTATTTGTGTATTTTTTTTTTTTTTTTTTAAATAACAAAACTGTAACCTCCGGAAATAGTCTGCCAGGTACTTTATGTTTTAACTGAATCTACACTGTCTGTCATCTGGAGTCATTCATTGTGACATCATAAAAAGCAGGCCTGACAATGCATTCGCAGTCCGACTGGGCATTTGTGGATTTTCTAGTTACAATTCTGCCAGTGCAACCTACAATTCTTGTTCAAATTGAACTTTGCTGAAGACTGATATTTATCCATTATATTTTCAGAGCAGTTTTCTCTTTTCTGACTGACCTTTAATTTTATGCTAACCTCTATACTTCAGTCTTCATCTTCTCTGGACCCCAGATTTCCCCTTTCCAAAATTAGCCCATTCGTTACCCTGTGTCAGAGGGACGTTTGCGCAGGGTGGTACTGAATAGACCAAGGCATGCCGAAAAATGAAATTGCAGGCTTCCAGACCCAGAGAGCTTTCAGAGCAAATTCTGGAATGGAACATGGCTGAGGCCCTCACAGAAGCATGTTAGGCACCTGACACTGGGGTTGGTGAATATGAGCCACTCTAAAGAGATGCCCAAAGCCCCTTCTGCCAACCAGAAGAGAACGCTGCTCCTGGCTCTTTCAGTGAGACCTACAGCCTTGGTGCTCAGTTTCTGCATCTAGATACCAATGGCTAGATGCAGATGCCTGTGGAAGGGGAGTGGGTTTTGAAGGAACAGGCTAGGCCAACATGCCATGACCATCCAGTGGTCCAGAACATGACACTAGGGTTGGAAAGCAATAGAAAGCAGTAGGCATCTGCTAGACTGCAGATTTGGGGACCAGGAAGGGATCGCTGGATAAAGGCATGGCTTTAGTGGGGCCTCCCCAGCCCCACCCCAATGACCACAGCAAAGCACGGCTGACTGGACTTTGAGGGCCCCCACGGGAGGACAAGGCTCAGGATTTTGTTCATGCAGGGGGGAAGGGTAACTGTCTGTCTCACTTCCCACAGAACCCCCAGTTCATCAGGCGGGCAGCAAGCCTCTAGCTGATTTTTTAAGTTAATCCACACATCTGTCCCGTGCTGCTGGGTATCAGGCCCAGTGCCAGGCTGTAGCTGCCCCAGTGATAACAAGTCAGTGCGGCTCATGAGGACCTTGGAGGCCACTGAGAAGATGGAGAATGTAAGCCAATGGTTACAGGCATTCCAAATGTTGCTATTTTTTTCTTTTCTTTTTTTTGGTTTGAGACGGAGTCTTGCTCTCTACTGCCCAGGCTGGAGTGCAGTGGCACGATCTCAGCTCACTGCAACCTCTACCTCCTGGGTTCAAGCCATTCGTCTGCCTCAGTCTCCCAAGTAGCTGGGATTAGAGGCGCCTGCTACCGCGCCTGACTAATTTTTTGTATTTTTAGTAGAGACAGGGTTTCATTCACCATGTTGGTCAGGCTGCTCTCGAACTGCTGACCTCAGGTGATCCGCCCGCCTCAGCCTCCCAGAGTGCTGGGATTACAGGCGTGAGCCACTGTGCCTGGCGCAAATGTTGCTATTCTAAGGAGACTTTCACTTTTTAAAAGAAGGGTATCATTTTCCATTGTGGTTGAGAAGGAGTCGTGTGAACGAACAGAACTGTCTCCTAATTTTTCTCATAATTAGCTGCTGCATATGCAGTGAGTAGATTTGCTCATTTTCCGTTAAACATGTTGTTTTCCGCATGCTCATATTTCAGATATTTCCCAAGCAGTTGCTAGTGGTTGTTTCGTTGGCCTCGTCTCTCCTGAGATGAGAGATGGGGCTGTTGGCAAGCATAACTTCTGTTTCACCTCCGTCCTGTTCGCCCGGGAATTCTGTGTAAAGACCCTGCTTGTCCCATTGAACTCGTGGACACAATTTGTCTGGGCGATCACATTCCACTTTGCTTTCCTTATCTTTTTCCCACCCTGTGTTAATGTGTTCAGCATGTTTTCTTAAAAGTGCCATTGTTAATGTCTTTTAAAATGTAAGATAATTAGTTTCATTTTTCTAAAAAGAAAAATTTGATCTCATTTCCTTCAACGTATCAGAAAATATATTTTTGGCTTTGAAACCATATGCAGCAGTGTACATTTTAACTGGTAATGGGCGTCCTATAGCGAAGCTACTAGACGAGCCATTCTTGCTAACTTGTCTGAAGGAGAAATCTACCAGAGCAATTCCCATGGCGAGTGCGCTTGCACCTGTCAGAGCCTGGCCCTTGCTAGGTACAAAATAGATGTTTATTAATTAAATGGTTTATAGTTTTCTATGATATGTGGACTGTGTTGTAAAGTGGATAATTTAAAATTTCCCAGATGACCTGGGTTTTTATTAAATTGGAATTTTGGCACCTTGTGCAAACAGAAGGAAGTTTAACCCAAAATTCTTAGTTATTTTGGTTTGTTATATATGGCAGTTTTGACAAAGTTAAAGTGATAATGTAACATTTTTGGGTGGAGAAGAAAACCAACCACGCTCCCTCTGTAGGAAGTGACGGGCTGTTTGTATTCTTGTCCTATTTCTGTCATTTTTTATCTGTCTTCTGATTATGCTCGTGGCGTGTACTTGCACAAGTAGCACCTCAGGATTTTAGCCCCTTCTCTAAGCACACTGTGAAACCCGAATATCAATTAAGAAAATGCATCAAAGCCACATGGTATCATTTCCTCCCTAAAGTCAGGCAATCCAGGAAAGCGCTCACAGGACTGTCAGGAATGAGAACGGTGCTTAATAAAAGCCCACTCACCATCAGCCTAAGAGCAGAGGTAAGAGGGTAGATTGTTTCTGGTGCAAAGCACCAACCACATACTTCCTAATGATTTCTTTTAGCCTTTCGAAGTGGGGTGTAACAATTGTAATGCCTTCTTACATTGTAGTTTTCAAGTCTTGACCTTGGATTTTCTATAGAGTCTGAGAGCCTAGAGACAGTAGGTGCTGAAGACTTTTCAGTGGTTCATGTTCTACAGCATTTCTCAGGCTACTGATAGGCGGTCACACGGGAGTCCCCAAGGGCGGACTCTGCGGCTTCTGGAGCTGCAAGCCTGGCTCAGCTAAAGTGGGGAGACAGGGAGGAAAGGGATGTGGAGGGGGGCCAGTGGCGATGGCTTTCAAAATGAATAATCTGCATAGAACCTGACCAGGAAGCCCCCTTCTCAGCACTCAAAACTCAAATGCTCAAAACATAATTTCGATGACAACAAAAGAAAATGACCTCCTACTACTGTGCCCGGTGTTAAGATAGCTTATACCACGTACAGGTTGTTAACACAGAAGCATTGAGGCTGTTCAGTGGCAAATGCCTTACCTCAGATTGATTTTGGATATTTTCTGGTTTTCCAGCCCATAATTAAGCTTTGCTGTAAGTGGCTGCCTAACAAGTTATCAGGGGGTAGAAGCAGATACAGAATTATTATTATTGTTATTATTATTATTTTTGAGGTACAGTCTTGCTCTGTCGCCTAGGCTGGAGTGCAGTGGCATGGTCTCAGCTCACTGCAACCTCCGCCTCCTAGGTTCAAGCGATTCTCCCACCTCGGCCTCCTGGGTAGCTGGTAGCTAGGATTACAGGCGCCCACCACCACACCCGGCTGATTTTTATATTTTTAGTAGAGACGGGGTTTCACTGTGTTGGCCAGGCTGGTCTCGAACTTCTGACCTCAGGTGATCCACCCACCTCAGCCTCCCAGAGTGCTGGGATTACAGGCATGAGCCACTGCACCCGGCGTTGGATAGAGTTTGAGGGTCTATCTTTACCTTTTAAGGCAAAGAGGTAATTCCAAAATAAGAATAGTAGCAATAAAAATAGAAGTTTTTACCAGGGCTCCTGCCCACAGCCTTCTGCTTCTGTGATTGGAAGGGCTCTCCTGCAGCCCAGTCCCCAGCAGGGACTCTTCCCCGGCTTCATGCACTGTTGCTGCATAGAACTGGTGGCCTTGCACCTCCCGGTTTCATGTTGTGTTCACTCGCTGTGCCACCAGCTGAAAAGCAGACTGTGTCGCCGGAATCATTTGAAACCACAAAATGTATAACAACACCTAAGCACATGGGGAGAAAGAAATTGACCTCACTAGTAATCAAAGAAATGCAAATTAAAGTAGTGAGAAGTTATGGGGAAAAATAGTTGTAATAACTGGGGATGAAAAGGTTCAAGAAGACCGGCTGTCCTCTGCACGACAGGAGGGCCTATAAATTGGATAGTTTATCTAAGGTCATTTTGACAATATGTGTCACACAACACCCCATGATCTACTCACTTCTTTTCTAAGGACTTACTCTAAATGATCTGAGATCTGCATCCCGTGTTTGTGAACAATGGTGTGTCTCAAAGTGTTTTAGAATAGAATCCATATCAATGTCCAACATTGGTGAAGGGTTAAGTAAATCCCGTATGTGTGAGGGAATACAACTCATCCACGAACATTAAGCATCTGAGGGGGTTTACATGACACTGGAAGAAGTAAAACGTGGGGTTAATTGAGCGCTTTAGGTTCCCATTTCTTGGCTTAGAACTCTTTCCCAAATCCTTGCAAGCTGTGCAACTTGGGGAAATCATTTAACCTACCTATGCCTCAGTTTTCTTATCTGTAAAAGTGGGAAATAGTGGTAATTATAACGTTGAAATGAAATAATTTACTTGGCATGCTTAGCACCATGCATTGAGTGCCCAGTAAATGTTAGGACTAAGCAAGTTACTGAACACTTGTGCCTCAGTTTCCTCCTCTGTAAAATGGTAATGACCGTAGCTCCTACCTCAGAAGGATGTTGGTGAAGCTTAAATGAGTAGGCAGAAAGCATGTGGCATGTGTAAGTGGCTGCTGTTGTTTGTGCTACAAGTGTCAGGAAATGTTGAAATGTTCACATAATACCAGATACCTAGTAGAATACTCAGGCTGTTCAAAAATTCACATCCTCACACACACAGGCGAGAAGATACGTATCAAAGTAACCATCTCTGAGTAGAAAGAGTATAAGCAATTTTTGCTTTTTGTACTTTTTTATATTCTTCCAACATTCATTTTCAACAATGAATCCATTACTGTAATCATTTAAAAAGCAAACAGCTATCTTAGACTTGAAACATTTTTCAGTGTCAGCCCAGCCCATGGTTAATCAAAACTATTGAGTCCCCTGAACTTCCCTCCAGTTAATGGTTTTTCCCTATTATATGGCCCTAGTCTCTGATCATTCATGGGTAGTAGCTTAATATTTCTGCACATGATGTTCTTCAGATACTTTCCTTTGGTTGCCTTAGAACTGTGATTCTGAACTCTCCAGGCATGCTAGAGTCAGTTGGGAGATTTTGAAATATACTGGCTTCTCATTAGACCAATTAAATCCAAATATTTGGAGATGGGCCCTGAGCACTGGTATTTTTTAAAGGCTCACAAGGAAATCCTAATGTGTGGCCCGGTAGTGAACAACACCCTGCATTTGATACTACCATTTCCTGCCTTGCAGAGAGTTTCAACCCATGAACAGGGCTCCCCTCTTCCTCTAGTCAATCTCAATGTGAGCCCTAGCAGTGTTTCCCAAAATTTAGGATAAGAATCCTCTGAAGTGCTTGTTAAAAATACAGATGGGGCCGGGCGCAGTGGCTCACTCCTGTAATCCCAGCACCTTGGGAGGCCGAGGTGGGCAGAAGACTTGAGGTCAGGAGTTGGAGACCAGCCTGGCCAACATGGTGAAACCTCGTCTCTACTAAAAATACAAAAATTAGCCGGGTGTGGTGGCAGGCGCCTGTAATCCCAGCTACTCGGGAGGCTGAGGCACAAGAATTGCTTGCACCCAGGAGGTGGAGGTTGCAGTGAGCTGAGATTGTGCCACTGCACTCTAGCCTGGGCGAAAGAGCGAGACTCAGTCTCAAAAAAACAAAACAAACAAAACAAAAAACAAACAAACAGATGGACCAGGCATGGTGCTTCATGTCTGTAATCCCAACGCATGAGGAGGCTGAGGTGGGAGGATTTCTTGAGGCCAGGAGATCAAGGCCAGACTGGACAGCACAGCAAAACCCCATGTCTACAAAAACATCTTAAAAATTAGCAAGGCATGGTGAAGTACCTGTAGTCAGTCCCAGCTACTTGGGAGGCTGAAGTGGAAGGATTGCTTGAGCCCAGGAGTTTGAGGCTGCAGTGAGCCATGATTACACCACTGCACCCAGCCTGGGTGATAGAGTAAGACCCTGTCTCAAAAATAAATATATAAATAAAAATATAAATACAAATGCCTGGGCCCTAACCCAGACCTACCAAGTCTGAACTTTCAGAGGGAGAGACTTGGTAATGTGTATATTTTACAAGCCCACTGGGTGATGCTTACCATCAGAGAGATGAGGGGACTCTGCTAGAGACATATTTCTTAGTCTTGGCTGCACCCTGGGAATCCGTGGGGACACTTGGAGAATCTCGGATGCCTGGTTGCCTCCCCCTGCATTTACCACCCACACGTCTTCAGATTGTAATGTAATGTGTCTAGGATACAGCCTGGCATCTGGATTTTTGAAGTCCTCCTGGATTCTAATGTGCAGTCAGAGTGAACAACCACCAGCAATGATGGTTCTCAAAGTAAGGCCCTGGGACCAGCAGCATCAGCATCACCTGGGAACTTGTAGATTATAGAGCCCCTCTCCAGCCCCTCTCCAGATGAGAAGCTGGGGATGGGACCCAGCAATCCGTGTGTTAGCAATTCCAGGACTCAGTGATTCTGATTCTCACTAAAGTTTCAGAACCCCTGCTAAAAAGCAGTGTTTTTAAAAGCAGGTTCCCAGATTCCCTCCCAGAGATTGCACAGAATGTCTGGACTGAGCCAGGAATATGCTGCAAGTGGTCCAAGACCACACCTTGAAAAATGCTGCTGTATGGTTAACCCTCATTCCCTTGGGCATTTTTTCGGTCTTCTTATGAGGCAGGGTCTCACTGTTGCCCAGGCTGGAGTGCAGTGATGCCATCACAGCTCACTACAGTCTCCAACTCCTGGGCTCAAGCAATTCTTCTACCTCATCCTCTGGAGTTGCTGAGATAGGTGGGCACTACCATACCTGGCTGATTTTTAAATTTTGTGTAGAGACAGGGTCTTACTATGTTGCACAGGCTGGTCTCGAACTCCTGGCCTCAAGAGATTCTCCCACCTTGGCCTCCCAAAATGTTGGGATTACAGGCATGCACCATGGTGCCCAGCCTCCCACTGAACATTTTAATGTTTATAAGGACCTTGACATCTCTGGAGTATGCCCAACATCCCTGTATTCTTGTGGGCTGCCCACTGCTGCCCCTTCTTGGCCCTTGATGCCAAAACATGTGGCTGTCTTCCAACCATAATTAATGGGATATGTTTTCTTTCAAGCTGGCAAGTACTGTGGCTGGGAACCAAGTTTTCCAAGTTGCTGACCTGAGTTTGACTTCGAATGCCAGTCACAGAAGCAGATGAAGACATGTTTCTTCTGTGCCTAACGTCTGTGACTCTTTGTTTTGTAGGTTTTATAATCAACCCACCTCAGCACGGTCCTCTCATCCCCTGACTGGTAATGACCAAGCCTACCGGAGAAGAGGACGGCAAGAAGCCAGGAGCCAGAAGCCGAGGGAGCATGAAAACCTAGAGGCCAGAGGAATGGCCCAAGCCCACAGCCTGCCTGTCCACATGAGGGAGGGTCCATGGGAAGTTGGAGGAAGGTCAGAGCATGTGATGAAGAAGCCAGTTTGGGAAGAAGAATTGAGAATGTCGGGTCCTGCCAAGTGGCAGAATGTCAGCCTGGAAAGCTGGAACCAACCAAGGAAATTAGGGAGGCAGATGTCTGATGGGGATGGGGAGAGACTGTTTAAAGACCTGTACCCATTCATTCAAGGAGAACATGTGTTGAATTCTCAAAACAAAGGGAAATCCCGCTCACTGCCTAGAGTTCTTTCCCCCGAGAGTCTGAGTTGCACCGAAATTCCCATTCCATTCAATGAAAGACATTCACCTAAAATGCCACCGTATCCTCCCACTTGCACACCGAATTTGGACTCCACGAGGAATTCTGAGAAGGGTGGCTGCTCAGCCCCATTTCCCCGGCCTAAGTTTGGGAGGCCCCTCAAGCCCCCATCTTACAGCTCGCACCAGCAGTCTAGGGGAGGAGCGGACAGCAGTGACTCTCAGGACAGCCAGCAGATGGACGCCTATGTCCCCAGGCATGAGCTCTGCCTGTCCGACCCTGGATTGGAACCTCCAGTGTATGTGCCTCCGCCCTCATACAGATCCCCCCCACAGAACATCCCAAACCCCTACCTGGAAGACACAGCGCCCATAAATGTGTGTGGCGATCACAGTCAACAGCAGTCTCCGACCGAGAAGGCTGGGGCCAGCGGTCAGCCTCCTTCGGGCCCCCCTGGAACTGGGAGTGAGTATGGTGCGAGCGTCCGCTCGCCTCAGGGGCTCCCTGCACACCCCCGACCCGTCACTGCCTACGACGGCTTCGTTCAGTACATTCCCTTTGATGATCCACGGTTACGACATTTTAAACTAGCTCAGCCCCAGGGTTTCTGTGAAGACATAAAGCTTGACGATAAATCATATAACTCCAGTCCTGTCACTGCCCAAGAGCCGGCTCATGGAGGAATGCAGCCTGATGGTGCCATTTGGAATCCACAGAGCTTAATAACCCTGTCGGGGGATCAGAGAGGCCCGGTCTTGGCCAGTCCCAGCCCCCGGTGGCTGTGGGGCCAGCTCCCCGGGGATGGGGAAAACAGCGGCCTCCCTGACCAGAGAGGCCACTGTGTGGCAAGGGGACAGTGGCCTGATGTGAGAGGCAGCCAGCACGGGCACACTGGGAGACAAGTTTCCTCCCCGTACTCACAGGGCGAGAGCACCTGCGAAACTCAAACCAAGCTCAAAAAGTTCCAAACTGGGACTCGGACCAAGAAAAGTTCAAAGACAAAAATGAATGAGACTATATTTTGTTTGGTTTCTATCCCAGTGAAATCAGAATCACATCTGCCAGATAGAGATATGGACAACAATGACTTAAAGCCCAGTGCTGATCAAAAGAATGGGTCTGATAAGAGCCCGGCTCTGCAAGAACAGAGTCTGCTGAGCATGTCTTCCACCGACCTGGAGTTGCAGGCCCTCACAGGAAGCATGGGTGGGAGAACGGAGTTCCAAAAACAAGATCTAGGGGAACCAGAAGAAGACAGACAAACAAATGACCTCAGTTTCATCCACCTTACAAAGCACAGAGAACTCAAGCATTCTGGCTCTTGGCCAGGGCACCGGTACAGAGATCAGCAAACACAAACCAGTTTCTCCGAGGAACCCCAAAGTTCACAGCTGCTCCCTGGTGCAAAGCCAGGAGGGCCGAGTTGTGCAGCTTTGAGTCCAAAACGTTCAGACCCTGCTGCCTCCGAAGCTCAGGCGCACACAGCATTCCCTTCTGGCGATCACAAACAGAGGCCAAGTGCCCGTAACCTGAAGGGCCACAGGTCCCTCAGCCCATCCAGCAACAGTGCTTTCTCAAGGACTTCCTTGTCCGTAGATCAGGCACCGATGCCAAAAGCAGGCCGAAGTCAGCCCTGCGTGGATGTCCACGGGCTTGGAGCCCACCCTGGGCCTAAGCGGGAGGTGGTGAAGGGGGAGCCCACAGGCCCGTGCAACAGTAAACAACTCTTTGGGCAGTTTCTCCTGAAACCGGTCAGCCGTCGTCCCTGGGATTTGATCAGTCAGTTAGAGAGTTTTAACAAGGAGCTCCAGGAAGAGGAAGAAAGCAGCAGTAGCAGCAGCAGTAGCAGCAGTGAGGAAAGTGAGGCAGAGCCGCAGCAGGAGAACCGCGCTCACTGCACACAGGAAGATGTGGGCTTCCGCAGAAACAGCCTGGAAATGAGGGCTGAGCCACAGCCGAGGGTGTGGGTGCCGGAGAGCCCTGTGTGCAGGTCGGGAAGAGGTAAGAGTAAGTCTGAGAGCTGGAGTGAGGAGCTGCAGCCTGGCCACCCACGTGCCTGGCCTCCATCCCCAGGCCGCTTCTGCATGGAAGACAGTGGCGGTGCACCTTTGTGGTCAGCAGATGGAAGCATGAGTGCAGAGAAGAGACACCTGGAGGTTAGCAATGGAATGGACGAGCTGGCAGGCAGCCCATTTCCTGTGATGAGAATGTCAAGATCAAGTGATGCAAAACCACTGCCCCCATCCTATCCAGCTGAACCTCGGGAGCCCCAGGAAAGTCAGAAAACCACCAGTGCTTTCAGCTCTGTGAAACCAAGTGAAGCGGTCCCTCGGAAGGGTGACAGTGGTGGAGAGAGGAGCACAGGGCTCCCGCTGTCCCTGTCTAACAAGAACCGAGGGCTCTCAGCTCCAGACTTACGGTCTGTGGGGCTCACCCCTGGGCAAGAGCAGGGTGCCAGCGAGCTAGTGGGGTCTTTGGGTGAAGCGAGCACGATAGAAATCCCCCCAGGTGAGTCCTTGCAAGCCAGGGCTGCAAGGATCCTGGGCATTGAGGTGGCAGTGGAGTCCCTCCTGCCGGGCACCCAGAGAGTGGCACAGAACCAGCCTGCTGAGCCCGATGCAAGTGCCTACACCCCAGAGTCCCCCCAGGAAGAGTTGCCATCTCGCCCAGCACCGGCAGATGTCCCCAGGGTGTCCACTGATGCCTTTTATGGCAGGAGGAAGTGTGGCTGGACCAAGAGCCCTCTCTTTGTAGGGGACAGGGACAGTGCCAGGCGGGCTCCTCAGGCTTTCGAGCACTCAGATGTGGACGGGGTTGTCACCAGCACAGACCCCGTCCCTGAGCCTGAGCCCAACCCCTTGGAGTCCAAGGTCTTCGAACAAAAGGATGTGGAGACAAAACCACCCTTCAGGTCCACGTTGTTCCATTTTGTAGAAAGAACCCCAAGTGTGGCAGGCTCAGAAAAGAGACTCAGAAGCCCTTCCAAAGTGATTGAAAGTTTACAAGAGAAACTGGCCTCCCCGCCTAGGAGAGCAGACCCTGACCGCCTGATGAGAATGAAAGAGGTGAGCTCAGTGTCACGGATGAGATTCCTGAGCTTCAGGAATGCCAACTCCCAGGAGGAGGCCGAGGAATTGAAGGCCACCACGAGGGGCCAGGCTGGGCTCCCGGGAGGCCTTGTGTCTCCGGGCAGTGGGGACCAGGCTCAGAGAGTGGGCCACTCACTCTCCATCTCCAAGGGCAGCATCTCCAGGGAAGAGAAGGAGCATCCGGCAGCACAAAAGGAGAAGAGCGTGGATCAAGACTTCTGGTGCCCAGGTGAGGAATCAGGCAGGCAGGCAGGTGCTCGGTATGCATTTGGAGTTTTTAGTCAGTGCAGAATACCAGGTTGGTGGATAATGTAAATCTGCATATTCAGAAAAGATCAAGTTGACCCTGGGAATTGTTCTATCAAAAGATTCCTCATTTTTGAAGAATTATCCAGAAGCCATCTTTAAACTTCAAGATCTTGCAGCATATTTATTTTATTTTTTTGAGATAGCATCTCACTTTGTCGCCTGGCTGGAGTGCAGTTGTGCAATCTCTGCTCACTGCAACCTCCGCTGCTTCCCGGGCTCATGCGATCCTCCCACCTCAGTCTCCCGAGTAGCTGGGGCCACAGGCGTGCGCCACCATTTCCAGCTAATTTTTTAACTTTTTTGTAGAGACGAGATCCCACTATGTTACTCAGGCTAGTCTCAAACTCTTGAGCTCAGGTGATCAGAAGAAGAGTTGAGATAAATGTCAAAAGATCCACATCATAAGCCATGGACTGGATGGGACCTTCTGTCATTTAGTCCAAGCCTGCTCCCCCTCCCCTCCCCTTCCCTCCCCTTCTCCTCCCCTTCCCCTCCCCACCTCTCCTTTCCCCTTCCCTCCCTTTCCCTCCCCTCCCCCTTCCCCACTTCTCCCCCGTCTCCTCCCCCCTCCCCCTCCCCTCCCCTTCCCCTTCCCCTTCCCTTCTCCTTCCCTTCCCCTTCCCTTCCCCTCCCCTCTCCTCCCCTTGTCTGCCCTTCCCTTTTTTTTCTTTTTGAGACAGAGTCTCACTCTGTTGCCCAGGCTGGAATGCAGTGGCACGATCTTGGCTCACTGCAACCTCAGCCTCCTGGGTGCAAGCGATTCTCCTACCTCAGCCTCCCGAGTAGCTGGGACTACAGGCGTGTGTCACCATGCCCAGTTTATTTTTGTATTTTTAGTAGAGACAGGGTTTCGCCATATTGGCCAAGCTGGTCTTGAACTCCTCACCTCAGGTAATCTGCCCTCCTTGGCCTCCCAAAGTGCCAGGATTATGGCGTAAGCCACTGAGCCTGGCCCAGTCCAAGCCTTTTTACAGTAAGGGAAAAAGAAAACTTGGCCCACCCCGCCACGAGTTGAGTTAGAGGAATGCTCTCTCCTGAGCCGGGCCCTTCCCTCTTCCTACCCAGTCTTCAAGAGGTGGTTCCGCTCCTCCTACCCCTTTCTATTTTCTGTTTTGAAACCCAAGAATATTGAAGCAGATAGAAAAGAGCCATTGTTTCAGTTGGAAGTAGTCAGAGATTTCTGTTGAACAAAAAAATGTACATGGGCACTCTCAAGTTTCCCCCAAATACGGTGGGATTCTTAGGGGTGCTAGCCAGTGTTGCTCCTCTGCTCCCTATGCAAAATACATGATTGAAATAATCCTTCGTTGGGGCTCCTTGGATCCTCTCGTTGGACAAGTTGGGGCTTTGCAGTGGTAGAGAATACTGAGAATGTGAAGGCTTTGCCATTATGGTGGAAAAGAGTTACCTGCCCATTTTTTGAGCTGTCGGGATTTATTGTAGCCTTCAGTGTAATTCCTCTGCAGTCCCCCTTCCTCCTCAAAACATCTGCCCACTAGACTTTAAGGCTAGTTAAAACTTGTCATAGACTTCTAAAGCAAATTTCTTCATCTATAAAATCAGGATGATTTTCTCAGTCCTACATCTTCCTGAAAATTGTAAGGAGTTTAAAATAAGACAAATAAATCCTGTTATAATAAAATACCAGTTGGTAAATATTTCTGTGTCTCAGTTCATGGACACCTATTTCAGGGAGGTTTTTGATTGTTTTGAGATAGAGTCTCAATTTGTTGCCCACGCTGGAGTGCAGTGGCATGATCGTAGCTCGCTGTAGCCTTGAACTCCTAGGCTCAAGCGATTGTCCTGCCTCAGCCTCCTAAGTAGCTGTGACTACAGGCATGCACCATCACACTCAGCTATTTTTTTAGTTATTTGTAGAGATGAGATCTTGCTACATTGCTCAGGCTGGTCTTGAATTCTTGGCCTCAGGCAATCCTCCTGCCTCAGTTATGGTGCCCAGTCCAGGGAGTATTTGATAACACAAAATTGCCAGTGCAGAAAAGCACTCCCTCATTTTTAGCTTGACTGTTTAGCATGAGAAGATCCAGTAGGTATCTAAAAACACCCAGGTAATGCAGACTTTCATTTTAGCCAGTTATTAACAACACCTCCCTCATGACCTTTTTGGGTTTTTTTTAACCATCGCTACTAACAAGCAGAACATTTAATTTTTTTTCTCTTCTCCATCTGATGCATTTGCTAATACACAATAAAATGGCCAAAAATCTGCAGCTAGAGAGCTACTCGTGTTGACAGCTTCCTCGGGCATTTTCAAATACAGTCGTGTGTCGCTTAATGGGGCTGCACTCTGAGAAACGCATCATTAGTAGTTTCGTCATTGTGTGAACGCCATAGAGAGTGCACTTCCACAAACCTAAATGGTAGAATCTACTAAACACCTAGTCTTCGTGGTAGAGCCTAGTGGTCCCATGCTGCAAACCTGTACAGCCTGTTACTGTGTAAAATACTGCAGGCAGTTTTAACGCAATGGTAAGCATTTGTGTATCTAAACGTATCTAAAGAAAAGGTACAGGCCGAGCGTGGTGGCTTATGCCTGTAATCCCAGCATTTTGGGAGGCCGAGGCGGGTGGATCACTTGAGGTCAGGAGTTCGAGACTGGCGTGGCCAATGTGGTGAAAACCCGTCTCTAACTAAAAACACAAAAGTTAGCCAGGTGTAGTGGCAGTCACCTGTACTCCCAATTACTTGGGAGGCTGAGGCAGGAGAATTGCTTAAACCCGCGAGGCAGAGGTTACAGTGAGCTGAGATTGCACCATTGCACTCCAGCCTCAGCAACAAGAGTGAAACTCCATCTCAAAAAAAAATGCACAGTAAAAATATGGTATAAAATATTAAAAAAAGAAAGGACCACTTTTATAGGGCACTCACCATGCATGGAGCTTGCAGAACTGGAAGTTGCTCTGGGCAAGTCAGTGAGTGAGTGGTAACCGAATGTGAAGGCCCAGAGAGTTCCTCTACTCTGCTGTAGACTTTATAAACTTTATAAACTTAGGCTATACCACATTTGTTTAGAAATTGATTGCACTATGATATGACATCATTAGATGATAGGAATGTTTCGGCTTCATTATTGTCTCATGGGACCACTGTCATCTATGTGGCCTGTCATTGACCAAAACGTTCTGTGGTGCATGACCATAATTGGAGGAGAGCACCATTAGGGACGATTTCTCACATTTGTTTTGCTCAGGTGGCCCTCTATCGGCCTTTCATGTGATGGTCACCACTATGATATGACATCATTAGATGATAGGAATGTTTCGGCTTCATTATTGTCTCATGGTACCACTGTCATCTATGTGGCCTGTCATTGACCAAAACGTTGTTCTGTGGTGCATGGCCATAATTGGAGGAGAGCACCATTAGGGACGATTTCTCACATTTGTTTTGCTCAGGTGGCCCTCTATCGGCCTTTCATGTGATGGTCACCAGGCCTCAATATTCAAAACCACTCGTTTTGAGAACAGCTGAGGTCATATGATGGAGGTAGTAATACTTTTGACATATGTCCACTTTTCCACTCACTGTTGCTTCACAAGTTACAGTAAAGCCTTGTTGTTATGTCACTGATAAGCACTTGGACTTTGCTTTCCTTTTGATGTATTTCATCGTTTTAAACATAAGAATCCTCATCTTTTCCCCACCCCACTGCTGCCCCCATGACCCCAGCATACTAGAACTGCTTCATTGCTCCTAAATTTGTAGCCCACTTAAATTCAAGCATCTGTTCTGGAACTGTAACACAAGGCCATGCCATGTCTATTCGCACCACCCCACCCTACACACACACCCTTGTGTCGTGCCTGTCATATCATCAAGTGTCTTTATTTTAGGTTAAAGTTGATCGTTTCAGCTCACATGTCTTTAGTGGTCTTTCATGCCTCTGGCTAAGAAATCAGCAGCCCAAAACCAATTCGGGTCACAGACTCCCATCTTTGCTGGATGACTGATGCTCCAATTCGGAAGTGTCATCCCAGGCATTGATCGTACACAGAACCTCCTGGTTCCGTCATCCTCTGTTGCAAGCCCTGTTAATATGAGTCCAGGGGAACAATGAGAAGAGATATCTGTGTGAGGCCCGAAATGAGAGAAATCGGGGAAGGCTTCATGATGCCAGATCACGCCATGAGAAGGCTGGACATTAGCACCTCTCCGAGGGCATTAATATGTGAAATGCCCACCAGGGCAGTCCTCAGTGAGTTGTCCTCAGCTGAAATGGAACCCACAGGAAACAGGATTCTAAATTCTCCAGGTAACCACCCTACCCTCTAGACCTGTGCTGTCCAATATCGTCGCCCCTCGTCACATACAGCTACTGGGCACTTGAAATATGGCTCATGCAAATTGAGATGTGCTGTAAGTGTAAGATACACGCCAGATTCCAAAGATTTAGTGCAAAAAAAGAATCTAAAATGTCTCAATCATTTTTATATTGGTTACATATTGAAACGATATTTTGAATATATTTGGTGAAATATAGTATTTAAATTAATTTTACCTGTTTATTTTTATTTGTTTTAACGTAGCTACTAGAAAATTTAAAATAATGATGGTTGGGTGTGGTGGTTCGTGATTGTAATCCCAGTACTTTGGGAGGCAGAGGTGGGAGGATCATTTGAGCCCAAAACCAGCCTGGGCAACCTAGCGAGATCCCCATCTCTACACAACATGAAAAACAAAATTAGGCATGGTAGTGCATGTCTGTAGTCCCAACTACTAGGGAGACTGAGGCAGGAGGATCGCTTGAGTCCAGGAGTTTGAGGCTGCAGTGAGCTGTGATCGTGCCCCAGCACTCTAACCCGGGTGACAGAGTGAGACCCTGTCTCTAAAAAATAATGTTTTGTGGCCCACATTATGATTTTATTGGACCTGGACGGTCCATGAGCTGAAGAAAGAGCCCAGGGGACTGTGGGCAGCAGGCGTGTCCTGTGGAGGTGTCTCTAGGGTGCCTGGCACAGAAGACCACGAAAAAGATGTGAGCTGAAATGACCATCTGTAATCTAAAGACGCTTGATGGTGGGTACAACACAGCACAGATAATAAGGGTCTTGAAGGGTGTGTGTGTTGGGTGGGGTGGTACAGACAGACATGGCATGGCCTGTTCAGTGCCTAGTGTTATGTAATGTGAGGCTTAGCCGGGAAGAAACTAAGCATCTTAATAACAGATGCTCCCACTAGCCGGAAGTGTGACTTCCACACATTCTCATAATTTTGTGACCGCACACCTTATTCTCAATGAAGAAAAAGACACCTTTGCTCACAGGCAGACCCTCTCAGAATGTGAGCACTCTGAGGCTGGTTGAGCCCAGAAATGAAGCACCCAGCTATTAATGTCTTATATTGTCTCACGGATGTTGTTAAGCATCAACAGTCAGGAAGAACTTATGTGAACTCCCCTTCCTTTTAGCCAGATTACCCCTGCGTGCAGCTGATGATGTTTGAGCAGGCGCAAACTTCTTTTCCTAAATGCAGAGACTGTCCCATCTGGTTAGTAATGTAGGGCTGAAAGTACTCTGAACGCTGTCTCAGTCATCACAGTCATGAGACCTGTCGTATCGCACGTCTGTCTCAGCCAGGTTCGTCATAATCGTATCTTCGTATGGCCGTCTGACTCGCCAGTGTATAGTCATCCAGTCGTGATACCTGTCGTATGGCACGTCTGACTCAGCCAGGTTGTATCAGTCATCACAGTCATGAGACCTGTCGTATCACACGTCTGTCTCAGCCAGGTTGTAAAGGAGTGAGAAGGATGTGTAAGACGCTTTGCTGCTGGAGAAATTGGAATGTCTATGGCCTTTTTAATGCACGGTTGTCCAGATGGATTTCAGAAAAGATTGTTTTTCGTTTTTCTTTTTTTTTTTTTTTGAGACTGAGTCTCACTCTGTTGCCCAAGCTGGAGTGCAGTGGTGTGATCTCAGCTCACTGCCACCTCCACCTCCCAGGTTCAAGTGATTCTCGTGCCTCAGCCTCCCGAATAGCTGGAACTACAGGCATGTACCACCACACCTGGCTAATTTTTGTATATTTAGTATTTTAATAGAGATGGGGTTTCACCATGTCAGCCAGGCTGGTCTCCAACACGACCTCAGGTGATTCACCTGTTGCAGCCTCCCAAGGTGTTGGGATTACAGGCGTGAGCCACCTCGTTTGGCCAAAAGATTGTTTTTCTAACTTTTCAGATACTTCCAGATTTCCTTTTTTTTTTTTTTTTTTTAAGTGAAATACCTTTTTTGACCATGCTGAGCCTTGCTGGTTTTTTTTCCTTTTTCTTTTTTCCCAGCTTTATTGAGGCATGATTGACAAAAATTGCATATATTTAAGGTATAGAACACGGTGTCTTGATTCATCTATAGATTGTGAAATGAGTACCCCAGTCAAGGCAGCTAACATAGTCATCTCCTCTCATAGTTACCAGTTTTTCAAGTGTGTTGAGAACATTGGAGATGTACTCTGTTAGCAAATTCCAAGTGTACATGATGGCATTAGTAACTAAAGTCACCACCCTATGCACTCAGTCTCCAGTACTTACTCATCTTATCGCTTAGGGTTTGTAGCCTTTGGCCAGTATTTCCCCTTTTCCTTTACCCCAGCCCCTGGGCAACCACCCTTCTAATCTCTGTTACTGTGATTTCAGCTTTTTTTTTTTAAAAAAAAAAAAAAGATTCCACATATAGGTGAGATCATTCAGTATTTGTCTTTCTGTGTCTGGCTTTTTTGACTTACCATAATGGCCTTAAGTTTCATCCATGGTGTTGTAAAATGGCAGGATTTGCCTATCTTTTAGGGCTGAATAATATCCCATTGTGTGTGTATATACAATTTCTTTTTCTTTTCTTCTTCTTCTTTTTTTTTTTTTTTTTTTTTTGAGAGGGAGTTTCGCTCTTGTTGCCCAGGCTGGAGTGCAATGGCACGATCTCGGCTCACAGCAACCTCCGCCTCCTGGATTCAAGCAATTCTCTTGCCTCAGCCTCCCGAGTAGCTGGGATTACAGGCATGCGCCACCATGCCCGGCTAATTTTTTGTATTTTTAGTAGAGATGGGGTTTCTGCATGTTGGTCAGGCTGGTCTCGAACTCCCAACCTCAGGTTATCTGCCTGTCTCAGCCTCCCAAAGTGCTGGGATTACAGGCGTGAGCCACCGTACCCAGCTATACAATTTCTTTATCCGTACATCCAGTGATGACAACCTCGACGATTAGGTAGTTTCCTATCTTGCCCATTGTAAATAATGCTGCAGTGAACTTGGCTATTGTAAATAATGCTGTAGTGCAGGTATCTCTTCCATACTGATATCCTTTCCTTTGGATACATACCCAGTCATGGGATTGCTGGATCATACGGTAGTTCTATTTTTAAATTTTTTTGAGGAACTTCCATAATGTTTCCATAATGGCTGTACTCCTTCCAGATTGCTTAAACATTTTTTCTTTAAAAATTAAGAAGCCTTTGAGCTGCTATGGCAGGAAAATCTTACCACAGGAGGCGCACGCATGAGCCTTAGGTTTGTCTGGATTCCAGACAGACATCTGTGAATTGGAGGTTGTGGGACTTGGCAGCGCCCAGCAGCAGCAATAGTGGCAGTTTAGGATGATTGCTCTTTTGTATGGTGTCCCGTTTTAGAAATCCAGGTCATCTGGGCACAGATTGGGATTTTTCCATTGCCGGCAGGAGAATGGATCAGTGTGAGGGCCCAGACTCGTACACACCTGTGTTAGAAGGCTCTGGAAGCCTTCCACTGACAGGTGAGCATCCAGCCCTGGGGCTGCCTGCTGGTCAGTGGTGATGAGAGACAGAAAGCCTCTCTTTGCCAGCCAGGCATTCAGGATTTGAGGATCCTCACGCCTTCAAGCGACAGCGTTTGATCACAAAGATGCATATTCTAAAGCAAGCTTTCTTTTGAGCTGTAATTTACCAAAAAAAAAAAAAAAGAAGAAGAAGAAGAAGAAAGAAAGATAAGACTTCTACCTTAGTATCAGCCAGATAAGATGTCTACCTTAATATCAGCCAAACACATCACTGCCAGTTTGGAAACATTGCGTTTAAAGTGACGTATGTTCCACGGTGAACAGGAAGGAGCCGCCGAAGTATTAAGCAGTCCATATTTTCCCATCTGTGTTTGGGTAATGACTATGCACATTCCTTGAAAACAGGCCTTTTTGATAAATATTTTTTTACTCCTTAGTGAAAACATTATTGTTAAAATGTCCAAAAATTAACCTTTATACATTTGTAGCTTTTGTTCCCTAGACAAATTTGTGGTCTAAGGATTAAACAGAAAATAGAGCAGTTGAATATACCGCTGATTTTCTTTTCTTTTCTTTTTTTACAGATTCCTATGACCCTAGCAGAGTGGAGAGGGTGTGAGGAAATGCTGGCGGAGCTTGCATTCCGTTGCTAATTGAGTATTCTCAAGGAGCTGAGAGATTTAGTCTGTCAGCCCACTTCCCCATGTAGAAGCTGGAAGCTGCTGGGTTTTTAGCATCCTGATAACATTCTTTACCACTGCCACTAGGAAACTTGCCATCCTCTCAGAATTGCTTTGTGGCGATAAAGCGATCGTCCGTTGAAACCATCTGTTTTTATAGCATGAAGATTTAATGCCTATAATTAGGAAGGAGTTTTCACAGAAACCCTCCCTCATGACAGATTTGACCAAGCTGGTAAATAGTTGGTGTTGCTCTCGTTCTGGGTGAAGATTTCAACGTGGAAGATCCAGCAAATGCTTTGGAAAGGCCTGTGAATGGTGTGCTCCCCTCTGTGTCTCCATGGCCTGCAGTACGTGCTCTTGTGAAGGAGTTTGGGACACAGGCTGTTGCCTGGTGTTTCAGCACTTCCAGTTTAGGGGAAATGTGAATCAATAGGTATGATCCATTTCTAATCAATTTGACCTTCTGCTGCTGGAAGTAACTTTACTTATAAGTAACTTGCCAACAGAGAATAAAAGCAATATCTTCTAAGTTCCTGAAAAATTAAAACTTGTACTGTAATATACTAAGAGTATTATTTATCTGGCAGTGAAATATTTTGATCAGTTGCAAACATGCCATTGTCTGCTTTGCACTCAGTATTATCTATTTTTATTTTCTGTATGGGTATTTAGAAATTCTTTATATGAAAAATAATTGCTGGTTTAAAATAGACCATTTTAACAAAGTGACTATTTCTTTTTACGAAAATGCTATTTTTCTATGATGTAAACAATTGTTAGGCGGCAGATTTTTAAGGAAGTATTATTTTATTTAAGAGTCTGTATCCCTTTGTGTGAGAGGAACCCAAAGAGGGTTCACTTTTGCTTTAAAGCTCTGTCCCTTACCCATTGACAGCTCTGCTACTTTTATTTTATCTTAGAAAATGTCAATATAGACATATCACAGGGTTAATAAAATAAACTTTTCACAAAGATTTTTGTACAAATGTAGCTATCAGGTTATATTTGAAAATAACCCTCTCAAAACCAGCCAACATTGTTATGACAATTTTTGCTGCCATATCAACTAGAATTACCAAAAAACATAGTTTTATCTTTGTATGTGTGTGGGGATCTGCCCTGAAACCATACTTTTCTCCCCACCCCGCCATGCCACCCCTTTAAAGAAATATGTATTTTTATCTAGAATGATCTTGAATTAGTCTCTGCGTATTTTTAGAAAGTGCTTGGGGACGTTATATATATGACATTACAAAAGTATTATGAGGCCTATGTATTCTACTGTGTTTAATACTGCATTAACCTGCACAAAGTTTATGCATTTTTTCCTTCTTTCTAAGTAAGGTATTCTTGATAGCTAACATTCCCTAAATCACTGCCTTTCCCTCCCTCCCTCCCTCCCTCCCTGCCTACCTTCCTTCCTTCCTTCCTTCCTTCTTTCCTTCCTTCCTCCCTCCCTCCCTCCCTCCCTTACTACCTCTTACCCTCCTTCCTTACCCCTGTCCTCCTTTTCCCTTTTATTTTTTTCCCCTTCTCTTTCATTTTATTTTCTTTTAGAGAAACCACCTTATCTATTTTTAGACATTTCAAATTCCTAAAATGTGAACCGTTGGGTGATCTGTCCTTTGGCCCTAAAACGGCTGGCCTGGCTCTCCCGGCCTGTTCTCATCTGCACCGTATGATTTTATTTCATAACAACTTTATGTATTTGGACTGTAACAAACAAAACAGAACCTAAGTCGCCCCGAAAAATCTTTCCAAATCTTTTCAAAACACTTATCTGCAGTCCAGAATTCAGCTCTTACGAAAAGTTAGAGTGCACTCCAGCTTTCACAGCAGCAGTATGCGGAGGAAACGAAAAGTTCCTCTTCCCAGGAAAAATTGAGTGGGGAAGAGTTCAGACACTGTTGTCGCTGGTGAATCATTCAAGTCACCTGGTAGTACCAAATGAGGGCTGAGGTGCCTGGAGGTCTTTGTGGGGTCTTACTTCCCTCTTTAAATGCAAACATAAGAAGGTATATGTGTATATACATTTATGTACGTGCACATGTATACATGTACGTGTACGCATACATACCCATACATGTATATGAACTCCGTTCTGACTTCCTCGGAAGTTTTGTTGATACCATCTAAATACCTCTTTGAATCAAAATAACTGAATTTTAGTTCATTCCTCAAGAGAAAGAGAAGGATCCCGGAGGAAGAAAAACTGTTGTACCTTCTGTGATTCCCAAACCAAAATGCAATGCCCTTGTGTTTTGTTATCTTAAATTGTTACGTCTTTCTGAAACCATTCTGAATTAAGTTGAAATTATCAACATTTATACTTTAACTCTTCTAAACTTAAGCCTACATGTAAATCTTTTCTGGGGGGAAGGTAACTTTAAACGTTTACCTTGAAAATTTGACCTTTAAACTTTCATATTCTAAGGTAAATAATAGCCTATAACCAACAACAGCTTTCCCAGAGGTCTTGAATTTAACACTAATTATTCAGTTGTTTCTATTTCTCATACATACATAACTTTGTTATTTTTTTGTGGCTGGAAGAAAAAGTTTCTATATTTTGTATTTGTCTTTGTTGTTCTCATGCACACAGTTAACTGTTGGTGTTTAATAATTTGGAGCTCATAAAATTAAAAGTTGTAATTTTGACCATTTGGACTAAACATTATATGAGGGATTACATGTGCAATGGATTAGTATTTCTTGATTTGCAAAAGAAGGGATTAAATGATGGTAATTTAGCTCAAATTGCCTTTCTTTGAAGAAAATTTCTGAATGACTGAAAACCAAATATCTATATTATCACTTTCAACCTCATGTTTCTGCAAACTACAGAAAAACTCCTCGCTGACAATGCACCCAGCCCCGACTGGGTTTTCAGGATTATGTCCATGTGCATAACTGCTTGGATTTCTTCTTTTAAAGTCCCTAAAACATGAATCTGTTCTTCGAGATCCTGGTTTCCTTAGCAGAGTTCCTTGCTGGTTTCATTCATGTGGAAATTCTAAGTAGAACTTTTGCTGCCCCATTTTACTGTTGGTGAAGGGCCATTGTTAATGGAAGTTTATGTTTTCAAACTCAAATGACTCTGAAACCAGACCCTGATAAATTTTTTTGCAGTAGCAAAATGACTTAACTCTGACAGCATCTCGGTTTGGGGCTTCTGAAGAAAAAGGATGAAGCTGATCAGTTGAAACAACTACTTTCCCAACTCAGAGGCAGAAGGGGCTGATGGAAGATAACATTCACCTACCGTTTCATCCTGTGACTCCCAAAGATCATGTTTGTGTGTTCTGGCTGAGTTTTTTATTATCGTTTGTTTTAAATGATTAAATAATACACAGTTAAATGTCAGGATAGCATCTCTTGCAAAGGGACCAGTGCAGCAGAATTGTCTCTCTATCCGTATTTGAGCTTAGAGAAACATTTCCCATGTCGTAAGTTCTTAGAAGCAATTAGTTTAGCGTTTGGGAGCATTGTTCTACCAGACCCATTTGTGCAGGGGAGATGAAGCTTAAAAGATGGGATGTGGGGTGGGAGTGTGTTTCTTAAGCCAAAGCTGTTGCAGGCCTGGGGGATTTTTGCATTTTTGTTTTGTTTTGTTTTTGACTGCAGATTCTGTACATCTGTCTGTGGGAGGAGAGTTGCTACTCAGGACAGGATTTAAGAGACACATTCCAGTGACCTTTAAGAATCTGCATGGCGGGAGGTCCTTCTCCAGGAGTGTGGGTTGGTCCACTCTGGGACCCACCACACTAAGAAGGGGGAGATGATAAAATAACATTAAAGGAAGAATGGCCTCCAGCCTGCAGGTTTTGTTGGAAAGAAATAAAAAGGGAGTCATTAAGACCATAAATTCAGATTGAGGCCTCTTGAAAAGGTTGATGTGGGCTAGCAACCTGCCCGTCGAAACAGTCCTTGGTTCATCAGCCGTGTGAGGAGGCAGCCAAGGCTCCTGCAGATTCCTGACTTTGACCTTGGAAAGGCTCTGTGATACTTGTGTGTACAAATACAGCAGAGGACCGGGAGGTCCTTGTTCTGTGGTCTCTGCTTAGTGACTGAAACTTATACCCAAAGGCAAGTCCAGATTGTCTGGCCATTCATCCCCATGCCTTGAAGCAAGTGAGGAGGAACCTTTCCGTATGAAAGGCAGGCCCTGCTAGGGCTTACAACCAAGCCAAAGGACCATCTCTTCTTTCTTCCACCTCCCTTCACCCCTGCCCTGCAGCAGAGCCGAGATGTGAGACATTCATTGTCATGGAGCAAGGAGACAAAGGCAAGTTCAAGTTGAGAAGCATATGGCAGCAAACAGAAATGAAAACAATATGTCCCAGCCAGGGGGAAAAGCAGTCATTTCCAGATTATAAAAATCAATGAAGTACTCTCCACCTGGGTCAGCTGAAATTCGAGCCCTCACAGGCCTGTAAGAGAAGTTAAGCAGAAACATCTCGGGGGGACTTCTAAAATTTGGTGAAAACAAGGCCTTGCAACCCCAAAGAAACTTTTTTTTTCCCCCCCCTTGAAACAGGGTCTTGCTCTGTTGCCCAGCCTGGAGTGCAGTGATGCGGTCATGGCTCACTGCAGCCTCAAGCTCCTGGGCTCAAGCACTATCCCCACCTCAACCTCCTTAGTAGCTGGGACTACAGGTGTGCACCACCGTGCCCAGCTAACCACAGAAACTTTCATCTGTTTATTCTTTCTTTGGGCACCATTAATACCTAAGACAGGTAGAAAGGGTCCCAGAAAGACACAATTGGTAATGGCCGATTGCTGGCTGCAGTCCCCGCCCCCAGATCAGGCTGGTACAGGATAGCCTTAAGGTGATGAGAGGTGAGGGTGCATGAAGAATAATGAGCACAGGGAAGAGAGAAACAGGACAAAGCAACAGATAAAATGCCGGCAAAGCACAGATGAATGTCTTCAAGAAGCTCTTGTATTTCTCTGCACAATGTAAATATCCTTGCTATTTCAGGATGGCGGCTGGCCTGCTCAGTAACATACATGTTCCAAATAAAGATTTTGCATGAAAGTACCTATGTCTGTTGTCTTTTACTGTGGGTGCAAGAGCTGCCCTAGAGGCTGCTTCCTAAAGGGCAGCAGCTCAGATGGTGTGGGTAATGCAGGGACAGGTAGCCCACAGGGTTCCAGCACCTTTGGTCTCCACCGGGATTTCCTGGGAGTTAAAGCTCCTGTTTACATCTCCCCCAAGGCTTACTGACATTGTGGAACGAGGCCAAGAGTTAATTTGGGGACTGGGTGTGAATATTGACTCTCAGTAACCATGTGGCCTTGTACATATCACATCCCTGGCTTCTGTGTCCTCCCCAGCCTCTCCTACCAAAAGAACATCAGAATCCAATATACAGAGAACCTCCAGCACATTGTGGGTGTCGAGTGCATGGAAAATGAAGCTAGAACAGTGCCTTCTGGGGAAAATACTTGCCTGGCAGTGTTGTAGGTTTTACCCTCCAGGCTTCTGTCTTCTTGTAGGGCAGTTCTGGAAGGGAGGGAGACTCGGTGCAACATCATACTCTCCAATCGTTTCCATCGTCAGACCAATAAACCTCTAAGCTGTTGTTTCTGAGTTTTTAAAAACATGGTCCTTCTTTCCAGTGTAGGCTTCCTCTCTCTCCCATAAGCTTTTGTAAGCTGTTTTCCTCATTTCTTCCTTGGCTCCACATGTGCAGAGCCCCAAAGCTTGAGGATCCCAGGGCCCTCTAGGTAGTCTGAAATTTCAGATCACATTGAGATGTGGGTTTTAAAGTAAGGACTGTCCCCTAGTTGGTTGATAATTGAATCCACATATTAAAATATAACTGAAAAAAATCCCTAGACCACATTAATGCTAGAAGATGAAACACACAACCCAGGAATTGGGGGACTCATCCTGGGCCTGGCTCTGCCATTAACTAGCTGTGACATTGACACCCTTTCCCTGGAACACTTCATCCTGTAAGTGGAGAGGGGGATTGAGCTAAATTAGCTGGTTTCTTCCAACTCTAAGCTTATATAACTATTTTCTGGCAAACCTGAAAGTCCATAGGGTCTTTTGTCCTGCCAGAAGGGTTCAAGAGTAAAACAATTGGAAAACTACGTCTGTACGTGACTGCGGACTGGGTCATGGCCACGGTGGGAGTCCTGCCATTTCTCTCACCAGGGTGGTCCACTTCCCCCATTCCAGTAACTTATCATGTGTCTCCCCATCACCGTCGCTATGGCCCAGCCAAGGGACTGACAATATTGAATTCTCCCGACATTTTTCTTACGTTAGGGCAGGGCACTGGGGTGTTTATAAACTGGGCAGTCAGCCCAAGGCATTAATCTGCAGTCACCCACATAGACTGCTTTTCTCACTATTTGGCTGCTGGGGTCCTTTTAAATGTACTTAGTTTTGGAGATATTTGTGTCTCACCAGCTAAATCGCCTTTCTGCTTCTACCCCACACACCAGTGTTTCCCCAAGTGGTCAGCTTGCAATTGACTGGCTGGAAAAGCTGCCAGTCCTACATTGCTCAGGGTTTTGGGGACCAAAACTCCATGGGAAACTGAGTGCTAACCCATATGAGCTCCAGGGAGCCTCTGGTTTGGTTTCTGCTGGAAAGCCCAGCTTTTCTTGGAGTTAGAGGAGATTTATTCTGCAGACCCTGGTCACTGTTTCTTCTCTTGACTTCCCCACTCTGTCCTGTACATTAACCGTGGTTGGTTGTTTGTTTTATTTTTTTATTTTTTTTTTTTTTTTTTTTTTGAGACGGAGTCATGCTCTGTCGCCCAGGCTGGAGTGCAGTGGCCGGATCTCAGCTCACTGCAAGCTCCGCCTCCCCGGTTCCGCCATTCTCCTGCCTCAGCCTCCCAAGTAGCTGGGACTACAGGCGCCCGCCACTTCGCCCGGCTAGTTTTTTGTATTTTTTAGTAGAGACGGGGTGTCACCGTGTTAGCCAGGATGGTCTCGATCTCCTGACCTCGTGATCCGCCCGTCTCGGCCTCCCAAAGTGCTGGGATTACAGGCTTGAGCCACCGCGCCCGGCCTGTTTTAATTTTTTTGAATTTTAGACATGGAGTTTTGCCATCTTTTCCAGGCTATTCTCAAACTCCTGGGCTCAGGGGATCTGCCTGCCTCAGCCGCCCGAAGTGCTGAAATTGCAGGTGCAAGCCACCACACCAGGGCCAACCATGGAACCATGGGTATTTCTACCTAATCTAACTCCACTGGTGTGTGTGTGTGTGTATATATATATATATATATATATATATATATATATATATTTTTTTTTTTTTTCTTTTGAGACAAACCTTTGCTCTGTCACAAAGGCTGTAGTGCCGTGGTGCAATCTCAGCTCACTGCAACCTCCACCTCCTGGGTTCAAGTGATTCTCCTGCCTCAGCCTCCCAAGTAGCTGGGATTACAGGCATGCGCCACCACACCCAGCTGATTTTGTATTTTTAGTAGAAACAGGGTTTCACCATGTTGGTCAGGCTAGTCTCGAACTCCTGACCTCAAGTGGTCCATCTGCCTCAGCCTCCCAAAGTGCTGGGATTAGAGGCATGACCACCACACCCAGCCCCACTGGTATATTTCTAAGATTATGATAACAGGGTCAGCTTGTGTGGAAATAAACCCAAATCTGCATTTACGGGTTGAGCACCCCTAATCCAATATGCTCCACAATCCAAAACTTTTTTTTTTTTTTTTTCCCGAGACGGAGTCTTGCTCTGTCACCCAGGATGGAGTGCAGTGGTGCCATCTTGGCTCACTGCAAGCTCCACATCCCGGGTTCATGCCATTCTCCTGCCTCAGCCTCCTGAGTAGCTGGGACTACAGGCGCTTGCCACCTCGCCTGGCTAATTTTTTGTATATTTGGTAGAGACGGGGTTTCACCGCATTAGCCAGGATGGTCTCAGTCTCCTGACCTCGTGATCCGCCTGCCTCGGCCTTCCAAAGTACTGGGATTACAGGTGTGAGCCACCGCGCCGGGCCAATCCTAAACTTTTTGAATGCCATGATGCCACAAGCGGAAAATTTCACACCTGACCACATGTGATGAGTACACAAAATTATTTAAGATGTTATATAAAGTTCCCTTTAGGCTACATGCCTAAGGTGTGTATGAAACATAAATGAATTTCGTGTTTTGGCCGGTCGCAGCGGCTCATGCCTGTAATCCCAGCACTTTGGGAGGCCAAGATGGGCAGATCACTTGAGATCAGGAGTTTGATACCAGCCTGTCCAGCATGGTGAAACCCCCATCTCTACTAAAAATACAACAATTAGCTGGGTGTGGTGGCGCACACCTGTAATTCCAGCTACTCAGGAGCCTGAGGCAGGAGAATTGCTCGAACATGGGAGGCGGAGGTTGCAGTGAGCTGAGATTACGCCACTGCACTCCAGCCTGCATGACAGAGTGAGACTCGTCTCAAAAATAAAAAAAAAAAAAATTGTTCAGACTTACGTTCCATGATATCTCATTATGTATATGCAGATATCCCAAAGTCCAAAAAATTCTAAAATCCAAAACTCTTATCTTCCCAAACATTTTGGATAAGGGATCCTCAATCTATACCTATAATTTTTTAAGTATTTAAAATAAAATGCACAACACGTTGGTTCCTTACTGTGGGCATCGCATATTATATGCATTAATTAATTTAACGCACACCCTTTTGTGGGAGACAAAACAGGTACAGAGAGGCTGAATTACTGCCTGCAGCACACAGCTAGCAGCCAAGCAGGGATTCAGACCTACTCACATTAACTCCAACATCCATGCTGTTCCTTTTAGCTTGTTGCATCCTAGGAGGATGACAGAATGATCCTCTATTTAGTCATGAAATTCAAAGGTAATATTCTTACAATACGAAATACATTTGTTAGGATTGGGTTAAGCTGCCTATGCCAGAAAATTGAAAATAGCAGCGGTTTAAGTGAAGTGAAAGCTTATTTGTCTCACACTTCAAAGGAGCCCAGAGACAGGCAGTCCAGGGCCAGCACAGAAGCTCCTTGGCAATCAGGGATCTGGGCTCCTTGTATCTTTCTTTTCCAGCATCCTTGCAATGGCTTCCATCCTGAAGGTAAGTAACCTCATGGTCCAAGATGACTGCTATCGTGCCGGCTATCTTGGACACTTTCTAGGCAGCTGACAAGAGGAAGAATTATCCTCCCAGATGAGTTAGCTTCCTTTAAAGAGACTTCAGGAAGTCCTACACTCTTCTGCATATACAGTCAGCCCTCTATATTCACAGGTTCTGCATCCACAAATTCAACCAACTGCAGATCAAAAATATCAAGAAAAAGAAACAAAATAACAATACAACTTAAGAATACAACTGTTACAGTATAATAACTACATAGCATTTACATTGTATTAACTATCATAAGTTATCTAGAGATGACTTAAAGTTTACAGAAGGACATATAAATGTTATATGCAAATACTGCATCATTTTATATAAGGGACTTAAGCATCCATGGATTTTGGTGTCCTTTGGGGACCTGGAACCAATCCCCTGGATACCCCAGAAGGACTGTATTCCATTTGCAAGAATTCAGTCACATGATCAAGCTGCAAGGGAGTCCTGGAAATGTAGTCCACTTAACTGGGCACCACTGTGGTTCTAAATAAAATCAAAGTTCTGTTGCTAATAAAGAGAGTTACAATAGTTATTCACTGGCAACCAGCAGGCCCTGACACAGTTAAACCATCGATGAGCTGAGCGTTAGCCCCAGGGCAGATGAAAGCTCACTAGATGGCAATACCAAGCAGCTAGTGTGCGTCCTGTGTCTCTGTGACTAGCTGATGTGACCAGAACCTCAAAGGCAGCAGGATGATTTTGTCTCACCAAAAAACGAAACATGCTACCACGAAGAAAGGGGTGGTTCATACTTTTAATCCCCCTACTTTGGGATGCCCAGGAAGGAGGATCGCTTGAGGCCAAGAGTTTGAGGCTGCAGTGAGCCAATATCATGCCACTGCACTCCAGCCTAGGCAACAGGGAGACTTTGTCTCAAAAAAAAAAAAGGTTGGGGGCAGGTTAGTAG